AAAAAAAAAAAAAAAAAAAAAAGAAAAGAAAAGAAAGAAAGAAAAAGTGAAATGTTCTTTCCATCATCCTGGCGAGGCCGTGCGGGCGCCCGTGTGTGAGTGGGGGCCAGCCCAGGCTGGGGCCCTGGAGAGGCCCCGTCCAGTCGCTGCTCCTCACTCCCCCTCCCACCCCACCTTCCAAGATTAGGGGGAAAAAGGCAAAAAAATAAAATGAAAAACCCCATACCCGTTGAATGTAAGACGCGGGAGGGCCAGCCTGCCTGTCACCCTGTGTGTCCAGAGCTGTCCCTCTGCTTCCCCTCACCATGGGACAGGAGGGTCCCCGGCCTCTTCCCCTTGGGTGGCCAGGGACACGGGGCACTGCTGGGACCCCTGAGTGGTGGTGGGCGCAGCAGCCTGTGGCCATGCTGCGGCCCAGGTCCAAGTCAGGCCCAGGATGGGGGCAGTGTGGGCCACCGGGACTGTAGGAGGTGGGACAGACCAAAAGGAAAAACAGGAAAAAAAAAAAAAAAAGAAAAAAATAAAAACCAAAAAAAAAAAAAAGAAAGCAAAAATCCTATTTTTTGAGAAAGAAAGATATTTATATTTGCAGTTTTATTTTAAAAAGTTATTTAAGCTGAGGAAGCAGCTCCCCAGAGGTGGGGGTGGCTGGCACAGGACGGGTCAGGTGGGGCCCGGCCCCGGGGCCGGATCTCAGTTGAGACGAGCTCACACTAACCCTAGATCTACGTGGGGCGGTGGGTGGGCAGGCGGGCAGGGCTGCCCAGGCCCCCGGCCCAGACACGAGGTGCCTTGGACACGGGGGCCAGGCCTGTGAGTGGGGCAGGGCGGTGCCCGCTGGGTACAGAGCACAGCAGACATTCCATAGACTGTATTTGAGAGTCTTTATAAGTGTGGGAGATTTAAAAAAAAAATTGATAAAAATGCACTTTTTGGGGGTGGGGGGAAAGCTTTAAAGTAAGAAAAAAAAAAAACAAAAAGGCAAAAGATGATGAAAAACCAGAAAAAAATCATTTTTCTTGTACATAAAACAACCACTAAACGCAGCCTGTTATGACCGCTCGGCGTCCTGCCTGATCTTGGTGTCCTCTGTGTTTTGTGGGGGAGTCGACGGGGGGGGGGGGGGGGGGGGCCTGGGACGCCGACTCTGGCTCCAGCCAGACTCTTCTTGCCCAGCTTGGGCAGTTGGTCCCTCAGGGGCAGGATGGGTGGTGGGTGCCCAGGCAGTACCTGGGCCAGGGCAGGTGATACCAGGGCCCGAGGGACAGCGGCAAGCGTGTGGGCAGGTGAGGAGAACTGGCTGGGGTCAGGGTGGAATCTGCACAGCCCTGACCTTGGCCACCTGCAGCGCCAGGGCTTTGGGAGGGTCTGGCTTGGGTGGTCTTGGTACCCACTCGAGGCCCTGGAAGTGCCACCCCATGCCGGGCCCCACACACTGGGGAGGAAGTCCTGGGCTGCTGTCTGCACCCTCTGGGCTGGGGGTCACCGAACAGCTCGGTGCAGGACCCCAGGGAGAACCCCTCCTCCTGCCTCCTGCCCTCCCATCGTCAGGATGGGGCAGGATGGGTGGTGGGATCTGCCCAGGCCGACCAAGCTGGTCAGACCCTTGGCTCCCCGTCAGTGGGGCTTTTCCTATTAGTAGCCACTGGGAGTCGGCAAGGCCCAGCTCTGGCTTGGACATACCACCAGGGTGTTCATGTTGACCCTGTGGCCGCTCTCCTGGCACTCGCCTATCTGCAGTCAGCTGCTGAGCCAGGCTGGTCCATGCTGAATCTGCTGCACAAAGGCCCAGGCCACACCACGGGGACCCGGGGCAGGAGGGAGTGCTGGGCTTCGGCCTGTGACTTTCAAGAAGGCATGCTCCACGTGGCAGCGTGCGGCTCACCCTGAGGCCTGTGGTCTCTGGTCTCTGGTCCAAATTGTATGGCCATGGGTATCTGGTTCAGAATATCCCACCACCCTAAGAGGAAGCCTGTCCCCATGAGCAACCCCCCATCCCTCCCCAGTTCAGCACCCGTGGGTCCACGTCCATCTTGGACTCTGTCCTGTCATTGAGCAGAGTCCTCAGGTCTGTCCACACTGCAGCTGTCAGCTTGCTCCTGCTCTGGCCGAGGATACTCCTGTACACATGGACTGCCTGGACGTCCACCTGTGGAACTCACTTCCACGTTCGCCGGCTGTGAACACGCGTGTGCACGTCCGTGGGATGTGCTCAGACCTCTGGCCTGTCCTCTTCAGGGCCACTGCCCCCCTCCCATGGTGGCTGCTGTGGGCACGGTCCTCCCCCTCGCCAGCACTGGCTGCTGCCCGTGTCCCAGCTCTGCCCTGGTGACCACGGCACCTGGCGGGCGCGCTGCCTTCTCCACCCCGGGAAGCCTGGGCAGGCACCCCTCATCCAGCCTCCTTGCCCAGGGGACAGGCACCTGGGGAGGGGAGAGGCCCCTGGGTGTCCCCAGGCCCCGAACACACAGAGAGGGCACAGACAGCACAGGCCTCGGTGGCTTCACCTTGACCGTTTTATTTGCATTTTTAAAAAACAATTAAATTAGAATACAAATATTAGAAAACAGCGGCCTCGGCCGTGGGCGGCCGCCGGCGGGAGTTCACACAGCAGTCCTGACGCCCAGCCGCGGCCCCACCCTGCCTCCTGACCAGGGCAGCGGGAAGGGCCCGCAGCGCAGGGGGAGCCCTCTGCCGCTGCCTCCGGGCCGCGTGGGGGCGCCGGCTCCAGGGTGGGCGAGCGGGCCCCGGCCGGTGGGAGCCCAAGAGCCTGGCGGGAGGGGAACCAACCCAAATCAAGAGACCTGCCGCCCTCGGACGCCACGCCCTCCCTGCCCGGGCGCGGCGGGGCTGGCGGTGGACATCTGTGCTGTTCCGTAGGGAAGTTAACCTGAATTGGAGTTACCGAGGTAGCTGGCTAGAAACTGACCCCCCCACGCCACACGGTGCCGCACCGGGGCCGCCTCCCGGGGGGCGCTGGCCACCGCGGGTCTTCAAGATACCACGTTATTGCACTTTCAAAAACAACCCACCTGCGGCGACCCGTTCGCCCCACCCA